AAATAAAATAAAATCTGAAATTAGAAAATAAAAGGAGAGTCCAAGTAGGAATATAATTTAAAAATAACTGAAATTCGGAATTAAAAATAAGGAATATTGAGAGAAGAGTCCATATAAGAACCCAATACGAGATTAGTTAATATTCGGAATAAAAATAAAAATAAAATCCAAAATTAGAAAAAAGAAAATAAGAGTTCAAGTAGGAATATAATTTAAAATTAACTGAAATTCGCAATTAAAAATAAGCAATATTAAAAGAAGGATCCATATAAGAACCCAATATGAGATTAATTAAAATTCAAAATAAAGAAATAAAATAATATCCAAAATTAGAAAAATTAAAAGAGAGTTCAAGTAGGAATACAATTTTGAAACAACTAAAATTCAAAAATAAAAAATAAAAATATTAAAAGAACGCTATATGGTATTAAATAAAATTTTTAAAAAATAAATTCTAAAATTAGAAAAATAAAAAAATATTTCAATTAGGAATACAATTTATAAATAACTAAAATTGGTGATAAAAATAAAGACTATTGAAAAAAAAGACCATATAAAACATACGATGAGATAAATTAAGTAACAAGCCTATAAAAGAGTAGAGTGGTGGCGGTTGATACGACATATAAAAACTATTAGTAAAACACCAAATAGAATCTTGATGATGATTAAAAGGAGGGACGATAGGCAGGCCGTGAAGCAAATATGTAAGACGGTTGCCGGGAATTCTAGAAAGTGAAAAAAAAACCCCATTGATAATCATATTCGATTTTCAAAATCTCAATGATAATAAAAAAGAGAAGCAGCGGGCAGGATGTATAGGATTATAGTTCCAGAGCCACCGATGGTTGGCGGGACTTGTAGAAAATAAAAAATGAATTAAAACGATAGTTATGTTCGAATTTCAGAATCCCAATGACAATAAAGAGTAGGCGGCGGATGGGTCGTAGAGGAGTATAGTGGCATCATGTGACGTCACTTCTAAAAATTATAATTAAAAAATAAAACCCAACAAGACAATAAATTGTAAAAACTACAAGGTCCAATTTTTAAAGGTTCGGAACTTCTAAAAAGTAAAAAAAAACCAATGATAATCATGTATGATTTTAAAATCTCAATGATAATAAATAAGGGAGACAACGGGTGAGCCATAAAGGAGTACAATGGCAAAGCCGCTGACGGTTCGGCAGGACTTATAGAAAGTAAAAAATGAACTTGAACAATAATTATGTTCGATTTGTAAAATTCTAATGACAATAAAGAGAAAAGACAGTGGATGGGCTGTAAAGGAGTATAATGGCAGCGTTTGACGGGACTTCCAGAAATTATAAAAACGAAACCCAACGAGATAATAAACTCAAAAAACTATAAGATCCAATTTTTAAAGGTTTCAAGAAGAAGAAATAGAAATAGTGGTAGACCGAGCAAGTAAATAAAGAAGGATATGAAAAATATATGATTTTGTTTGGGTGCTAGCCGCGCAATTGTGCGGACCACCCAACTAGTTTCTATTTTATACCACGGAAATTTACAGTACAATTATTTTCCATTAGCCCGATTAACTTATACGTGGTGTGGCGAGTGGGGCTCAGCTCTATATCTATATATATACACACCAGAGTAGCAGACCAGCACACCCACATATATACACACGCACACACGCAGAAGTGATCCATCAAAATATCACAGATCAGAATAAAAAGTTAACTAAGCTTGTTGTGAGTTACGCGCGCTTAATTAGCTTAGACACAGCTAGAGGAGTAAGATCGAGTAAGAGATATATCGAGCTAGCTAGGCACAGAGCCATGGCGATGAGGTGGTGGCCGGTGCTGGTGGCGGCGGCGATGATGGCGACGGCGGCGGAGGGGTTCATCTCGGCGAAGACGTGGTCGGCCGTCCGGCGGGCGAACGACCGTGGCGGGCCGTTCGTGGGCTCGTCGTGCCCAACGCCTACGAGATGGATCCCGTCCTCAACTCCCCAAGCTTCACCCCTACCCCTACCCTCCCCTCCTACCTCGACATCCAAGGTAATTAACGACGTAATTAATTAACCTAGCTAGCTTCTAATTAATTTGCATCCATTAGAGCACCCGCAATGGTAAAATAAGGTGCTATCTATAAAACATGTACATCTCAGTAATAGACTAGATTAATAGTAAACCATCTCAATAGTATGTCTACATGGGTATCTATAGCTCTCTAATACATTGCCTCATTTTTCTCTATAGACTATCTCCAGGTTAGTAGATAGCTTTGCTCTCTCTCTTCATTTAATCTCTTCCATGAGGACACCCGCAATGGTTATCTATAAGCTATCTACAAGAGATTCATGTCAGCATATTTTCCTACTTGGAAGAGATTAAATGAAGAGAGAGAGCAAAGCTATCTACTAACCTGGAGATAGTCTATAGAGAAAAACGAGGCAATGGATTAGAGAGCTATAAATACCCATATAGACATACTATTGAGGTGGTTTACTATTAATCTAGCTAGTCTATTGCTAAGATGTACATGTTTTATAGAGAGCACCTTACTTTACCATTGTGGGTGCCCTTACTGCATATGCTAATTTCATGCAGCTATAGCCTCTTCATCAGTAAATTAATTGGACAGTTAGTTAAGGACGATGCATGCATGCGTGAAGCTAATTACAGCGTGCATGCGATAATATAATAACCTGAAAGTGGCATCACACTATCAGCGGATAATTAATGATCAAGATATATGTGTGACTTAATTAAGCTCACGTACATATGGCGAGAAAGAGATGTGCTACCTGAATAGTGAATGTTTGATACTGTGATCAGAAATTGAAATGGACGAGCGAACGTTTACCCAAGAAGAAAACTGATTAACACGACCAAAACGTTAATTAACACACACACACTAATGATTCATTTTTCCTTGTAATTAATTAAGGACGAAGGTTTCGCTTCGGTGCCATTGGGGGCCAAAACGTTGTCATGGTCATGACAGGGCTTAGCATGGTACGTACTACTATACACACATGACTGCAATTATGCTACTACCTATCAAAAGTAGCTCAACTAAAACTGTTGTAGATGTAATCTAGATGAATATAAACAATGCTAGAATGATTTACGTTAGAAAGTATTAATTATTAATCGATCGGTTTCCCTAATCGAATAATTAATTAATCTGCAAATTATGCATCATGCAGCTGAATGCTGGGCTGACGACCCAGCTGCTGCTGAGCCTGTTCAGGGTGAAGGGCATCGTGCACTGGGGCATCGCCGGCAACGCCGACGAGGGCCTCCAGATCGGCGACGTCACCATCCCGGAGCACTGGGCGCACCTCTCCCTCTGGAACTGGCAGCGCTACGGCGACGGCCCGGAGAACGAGCTGCCGCTCGAGGCCGCCGGCGACTACACCCGCGACCTCGGCTTCCTCAACTTCTCCGACTACACCGCCGCCGGCCCCTCCCCCAACGAGCTCAACAGCATCTGGTTCCAGCCCGAGGAGATCTTCCCCGTCTCCGGCAAGCCGGAGCAGCGCCAACACGCCTTCTGGGTCCCCGTCAGCTCCCGCTACTTCTCCCTCGCTGAGAAGCTAGAGGTACACACATATACTGAGCTCAACGAGATCACCGGCCTGGCTGGCGTGACCAGCGTTATTTGATCGCGTGTGGCAAGACAAAACTGTCACGCTCTCATTGTGTGTGGTGTGCATTAATGTTGTTTTGTAACGCCCATGGTTCAAAATTGTGTAACGAAATTTTGGTACACACATACATATACTGAGCTCGACGAGCTCATCGGTCTGGCTAGCGTGACCAGCGTTAGACAAAACTGTCATGCATTAATGTTGTTTTGTTATGTTCAGGGTTCAAAATTCCGTAATGAAATTTCGGTTCCGTCGGTTTTTGATATGATATTATTTCAACCGATTTTTTTTTCATTTTTTAAATTTGGAAATATTTTCTTCAAATTTGATTAAATATGTTCGAAAACTAAAGATTGAACCCTGGTCAGCCAGACAGGCTGGTGTGGTCAGAAGGTTCAAAATCTGAAAATAAGTTTATTTTGAAAAAAATTATTTTTAAAATTAAAAATTAAAAAAGTTCAAAAAAAAATCGGTTGGTTGTCTGACACACGCGCGGTGGTGGTGGTGCAGGGGATGGAGCTGCCGGCGTGCGTGAACGCGACGACGTGCCTGCCGCGGGCGCCGAGGGTGACGAGGGTGAGGAGGGGGTGCAGCGCCAACGTGTTCCTCGACAACGCCGCCTACCGTCAGTTCCTGCGGGCCAAGTTCGGGTGCACGCCGGTGGAGATGGAGAGCGCCGCCGTGGCGCTCGTGGCGCACCAGCACGCCGTCCCGTTCCTCACCATCCGCTCCCTCTCCGACCTCGCTGGCGGCGGCTCCTCGCTCGGCAACGAGGCCGGCGAGTTCCTCGCCATCGCCGCCCAGAACGCCGTCGACGTCATGCTCAACTTCGTCCCGCTCCTCGCCGACGGCGGCGCCGCGCACGACGCCGTGGCGGCGGACATGTGATCGAGCCACTGCTGCATGCAACTTCGACGACATGATCAACCGATTTGCAAATTAAACCCAACTTGTAACCGTACCGTTGTTAAGTGCTCTAGTTGCAGAGAAATAATTGACCGTGCCCACGTTTACGTGGCCTCGTCGCCGTGATTAATTTGCTCATTTGTACTTTGAAATTTTCAGCTTGGAATGCAGTACTACGTCTTTCACATTATTGAATTATGTTTCCAGAGAAAAATTTTGGCTGTCACCCACCCTGGTTGGTTTCAAGAACCCATGCATGCATCCTCACATCAAACAAACGATTTAATTTGCCAAATAAAAAATAGGATTTGCTAAAAAGATTTTGTATAACTATGTATAACTTTCACATAATTTTGGAATGTTAGATTTGTTCCGAGATTCGTCCAAGCAAGGAAGGAAAAAAATTCATAGCATAGACATACAAATGAGGGGATTCAATCCCACGGCCTCCCTTGAAGTGTCTCTAAAAGCTATATGTACAAATTATATTGTTTGTAGTTATGTAATTACACTAAATTATAATAAATTTATATTTAAGAAAAAAATATTGATAGATATATAGATAGTCCACAAACAAATAACACCTAATTAAAAAAAAATTACCGATGTACAAGTGTGACAATTACTCTATCTGCTTTTAAATGTATGGTGCTATATATATGATTTTTTGAACATGATATTTGATATTTGTGTTATTTAAAAAATATTAGTGTAAATATATAAAATATAAGTTATGATTAAAAACGTTTAATATGATAAAATAAGGCAACAAAGTAAATGACATTTACGTATTTTTTTAATAAGATGGATGATCTTTAAAAAAAATAGCGAAGTTAGTATAATTAAATTAAGCTGGATTACAAAGATCTTTGAACTAAGATTGCATAACAAGATGATAATTAATTAACTGGTTTCCGCATCAATTATATCCCAACCAACTCTCGCTAGCGCTGATTTTGTGATGTGATGTCTCTCTTGTCTCCATTTGGCATGTTCTCATCCGGCCATCCCTAATGTTTCGGGTGACAATTACAGCGTTAATTTGAAACCTACCCCCCATGGAAATATCACACATAGTCATATCGACTCTAATAATAGTAGACAACTTAAAACTTCATTTCTTAATTTCGAAAACCATGTGATTAACATAACATAATCCTCTGGATTAATAAATCTTCCAACTTGTAAGATAGCTATAGAGTCATATATTGACTTCCATGAAACAGCCACGGCGAGACCCTCCGAAACGTTCCTTTCCGACGCGGCGGCGACCGTCTCCCTCCACGCGTCAGGCGGCCGCGCTGCCGGCCGCTGCCGCCCCGGTCTCCTCTCCCGCCATAATTTAAACCCCAAGGAGACGAAATCCCGGTCCTACCCCTGCTCGAGTAGGCATGACTACTCGGAGCTCGAGGGGGCAGTTCAGTCTTTGCGCGTCACCTCGCCTCCACGACCCTCGAGACAAAACCTTCCCATGGGTTTGTGTGTGAAGTGCTCGTCAGACATGGCGGGGCCGACGCCGACGTACTCGTCGGTGGTGGCGCACACAGCGGCGTTCCTCGCGGAGCTCATCGCCGACCCGCTCCTCCGGCGACACCTGCTCTCCGCCGCCGCGGCGGCGGGCGGCGTGGGGCGGAAGCAGCGGCAGCACCCGGCGGCGACGCTGCAGGCGCTGTCGCTCGTGTCGGACGCGCTCGACACCGCCGCGTCCGCGCCGCCGTCGCTGTCCTCCCTCCGCGCCGCCGAGCGGCTGCTGCTGTCGCTCCCCGTCGCGACCCCTTTGTCGTGCCTCCTCCTCGCGCTCGCGTCCGCCTCGCGCCGCCGCGGCGGGGCGGCGGCGGCGGCGGCGGCCGCGGTGCTGGACCTCTTCGCGCTCGACCCGGCGCTCGCGCGGCACGAGCTCGCGCCGGCGGCCTTCGAGGCGCTCTTCGCGCCGCGCCTCCTCCCCGTCATGCGCCACTTCGCCGCGCGCCGCGCGTCCACCGCCGCCGCCGCGGCGGAGGCGGCGTCCCATCGCGGCGAGGACGGGTCCGTGGAGACCGCCGCGATGTCGGCGATGAGGGTTCTCTCCCTGATGAGCGGCGCCCAGGCGCAGGAGATGAGGGACCTGGAGCGCGAGTACGAGAAGGTGCTCGACGCGAACTGCATAGCGTACGCGCTCTACCTAAAGAAGATCCTTGAAACCGGCGACGCGGCGAAGGAGACGTACTCCCCGCCGCCACCGCCTCCAGAGCTCGTATTCGGCGTCGGAGACGACGACCAGGACGGCGACGTCGACGACGAGACCACGGCGGAGACCGACGAGACCGTCAGCTCGCAGAACGACGTACGGTACAACGTAATGCTACGAACACAAACCTATCCCATCAGCGTGCTCGGCTCGACGGTGTCGACACCATGGTGACGTCATGTTCCGGTGATCTTTTGCAGCCGATCTGGGCGGACGCCGACGAGGCGGCCGACCTGTACCCGCGGCAGGGCAGCGGCAAGGGGTGGAGGGAGCTGATGCGGCCGCCGAGCCTGTACCCGCAGCGCGTGCCGCCGCACCTCATAGTGCAGCAGCAGCAGTCGTCGCCGTCGCCGACCGGCAGAGGAAGCCCGGTGGCGAGGCTGCGCGCCGGGCACTCGCCGGCGACGCCTTCTTCCGACGTCAGCATGGAGGACTCCCCCTCCTCCTCCGAGCTCCTCGCCGGCAGAGAGGTCAGTGCTCTGAATTAGTCTTGGTGCAACTCGTTTAATATGTAATCTAGGACGCTAAGAAAGCTAAGATTAGCATCATATCTCACTCCATTTGTTAATTAGAGAAGATGCAGGCGATGTTTTCATAAACAAATAGAGTTGTTTTAAAATACAAAGTTGAACAGATCATAGCTGAGGTTTCAATGTTGCTGTCTCGTCTCCTAGGAAAAGCACACGGCCTCGCCGCTGTCACGGCCTGCAGGCAGAGCGCGTCCACGCGGCGAGGAAGACGACGACGACGACGTCGCCGCCATGCTCTCTCCGGAGCACGCGAGGTAAGCTAGCTGGCGTCCTCGCGCTCGCCTCCAAAGCAACACCGTTCCCGATGTGATGATGGCGACGCCGCGGCGGCGGCGGATTATTCTTAATGCAGTTCTGTGATGGGCGGCGACGGCGGCGGCGACGTGGCGCGGCGGCCGGTGGTGGCGACGCCCAAGGACTTCGTGTGCCCGATCACGAGCCAGGTGTTCGACGACCCCGTCACGCTCGAGACCGGGCAGACGTACGAGCGCCGCGCCATCCAGGAGTGGCTCGACCGCGGCAACGCCACCTGCCCCATCACGCGCCACCGCCTCCACGGCGCCCACCTCCCCAGCACCAACTACGTCCTCAAGCGCCTCATCGCCGCCTGGCGCGACCAGAACCCCGCCGCCTCCTCCTCCGCGCCCACGCCGCCGCCGCCGGCGACGACGACGATGGATAGCCCCGCCGCCGCGGCCCCGTTCAAGATCAGCTCGCCGTCGCCGGACGCCACCGTGAGCCAGGCCAGCGCGCCGTCGCCGACCAGCGTCATCGCGCAGGCGTCCCTCGACAGCGCAGTCGGCGAGCTCCGCGCCGCGGTGTCCTGCCTCTGCACGTCGGAGGAGCTCGCCGACTCGGAGAGGTCGGTGCTCCGGATCGAGCGGCTATGGCGCGAGGCCGCCGGTGCCGAGCACGTCGTCCTCGCCGCGCTCGCCAAGCCCGCCGTCGTCAACGGCTTCGTGGAGATCCTCTTCAACTCCGTGAGCGCGCAGGTGCTCCAGGTGGCCGTCTTCCTCCTCGCCGAGCTCGCCTCCCGCGACGACGCCGTCGTGCAGACGCTGACGAGGGTGGACTCCGACGTGGACTGCCTCGTCGCGCTCTTCAAGAAGGGCCTCGTCGAGGCCGTCTCGCTCATCCACCTCCTCTCCCCCTCGCCGGAGCAGCTTGTCGAGATGGACATGGCCGACGCGCTGGTCGCCACCATCCGGCGAGGCGGCGGCGACGACGACGGCGGCGCGGTGGTCAAGATGTGCGTCAAGCCGAAGGCCGCGTCGGTGATCCTCCTGAGTCAGATCCTCGTCGAAGGCGGCCGGGACAGCTCGTCGCCGGCGGTGGCCAAGTCCGCCCTGGTCTCCGAGAGGTTCATCAGGAGCGTGGCGGCGAGCTTGGAAGCCGAGCAGGTGGAGGAGAGGGTCGCCGCCGTGAGGATCCTACTGCGGTGCGTCGCCGAGGACGGCCATTGCCGGAGCAGCATCGTCGAGAACTCGGCCCTCGCCGCCGTCCTCGACGCGTTCCACGTCGTCGGCGACGCCGACAAGTTCGACATCGTGCGGCTCCTCTCCGAACTGCTCAAGCTCAAACGGTAACCCCAAAGCTCCTCCATTTTACGGTCCTTAAAAAAAAAATCTCGAGTACCCTACTACTTAGAGGCAGGGTTTACAAAACCGTACGATCATCACACAATTATCATGTGTGATAACATTCTCAGTTTTTAAATCACGGTAAACCTCGCGGTAACCGTACAGTTACCTCGATAACCGCCTTTTCTGTGGAGTGGTGGTAACCACATTCAAAACGGTTTGATGAACACCACCTAGAGGTAGTAAACTTTACATTCAAAAATATATGGTATCTTCAGATATCCTCTTAAGAATGACAAAATTATCCACATCTAAAACAAAATCTCAACTTATTTTTCAGGCGATCAGCTGCTGATCGTCTTCTTCGGACGATCAAGGAGGCGAGCTCCTTCAGCATGATGCACACGCTTCTCGTGTACCTGCAATCCACGACACCGGAGCAGAGCCCTGTCGTTGCAGGGCTACTTCTTCAGCTAGATCTCCTAGTAAAAACAACTTTTTCTCGCAACATTTCTTCAGATTTGTCAAAAAAAATCTCATGTTTGATGGCGAGATCAATGCGCAAATGGTTTGTCAGGTGGAGCCGAGGAAGATCAGCATGTACAGGGAGGAAGCAGTGGACAGCCTCATCCAGTGCCTCAAGAACTCGGATTACCCGAGAAGCCAGCTGCTCGCCGCCGAGACTATCATGAATCTCTCCGGCAAGTTCTCCTCGTCGGGCCGGCCACTCTCACGCTCATCGCTGCTTAAGCTTGCCAGGGTGAAAGAGAGGCACCGGCCGTCGCACGATCTCAGCATTTCTCGCGGCGCCGGCGAGGACGAAATGGTAGTATTGGGAAACTATTTTGGTCACTAAAGGGGAATGTCTCCTCAGTTCGCTTAAAAACCATCTTATGGTTATGAAAAATTCTTTAAAAAATTTGAAAACACTCATGCAACATGTCTATAAAATTTTAGGTCCAAACTCAACTCACACGTCGAGATATAAAAAAAAATACAAATTCAGTGTGAATAATAGTATATTGTTTACATGTGAATTTGTCTCTTTTTTTTCACGATGAGCAGGTCGAATTTGAACTTAATTTTTGGTGAACTGATAGATATCACCGTACTTTACATTGCCAATTTTCAGAAGTTTTCTCTATAAAAAAACCTGCTGGATTTCATACATCGAGTTCACTTGCGATGTTTTTTTTTTTTTTTGTAGGAGGAAGAGAAGGCGGCGGCGGAGTGGGAGAGGAAGGCGGCGTACGCGCTGGTCAGCCATGAGTTCGGGCTGGTGTTCGAGGCGCTGTCGGGGTGCCTCGCGGCGGCCAAGAACGGCGAGCTGTTCACGGCGAGCCTCGTGTCGGCGGCATGGCTGGTCCGCATGCTCCCCCTCCTCCCCGACACCGGCGTGCTCGGCGCCGCCAGGGTGTGCCTGCTCCGGCAGCTCGTGCTCGTCCTCCGGTCAGGCAAGCACGGCAGCGACAGGGCCCTCGCCATGGTGGCCCTCAGGAGCTTCATGAACGATCGCGGTTGGTCACACCGTCCATTACCAATCTTGCCACAAGAATTTCAGAAGAGAGAGAGAGAGAGAGAGAGAGAGAACTCTGAATTTTTTGTTATTTTTTGGTTCAGAAAGAAAGAATCTCTGAACATTTTTATCCTAACATTGTGAAATTTCAGAGGGGATGCACGAGATCACGACGTACATCAAGGACGTGCTCAGGACGCTCAGGGAGCTGAAGAAATCGTCCGGCCTCGCGTTCGAGATGCTCAAGCTGCTGTCAGATGGACAAGAATCCAGCATTGTAATTGCATTTTTCTCAGCTGTTCTTGCAGCGAATCTGAAATTCCGGTTTTTACTGAACATTTCTGTTCTTTTTGTTCCAGGATATGTGGAATCACAAGGAGCTCAATCACGCAGACTGCAGCTCGAATGGTGAGGTCACATCGATCGCCTACTTCAAGGGCTACATCTTCTCCGGCCACTCTGATGGAACACTAAAGGTTTAATTCTCTCTTTCAAAATTCCGAAATTTTTTTCCTGAGATCATAACATTGTAGTTTCAGTTTTAGAAATCTGTGGAATTTAAATGTTCAGGTCTGGGAGGGAAGTGAGAATATCCTTCGCCTAGTCCATGAATCCCAAGAACACACGAAAGCAATCACCAGCTTAGCAGTGCTACACTCAGAGGAGAAACTGTTCAGTGGATCACTGGATAGAACTATCAGAGTATGTCTAAATTTTCTTGGCAAAATCATGAAACAAAAAAGATCGCACAAAATTTCAGAAATTTAACATGTTCATCTCTGCTGAACACCTGATCACCAGGTGTGGCAGCTCCGAGACGCCCTCCGGTGCGTCGAGGTCCACGACGCCAAGGACCCGGTTCAGAGCCTCGCCGTCGCCGCCGCCATGGCCTGCTTCGCGCCGCAGGGCTCCGGCGTCAAGGTGATCGATCGCCGATCACATCATCCGGCGAGGCGCTTCCATGGATGGCCACCTAACTTGGTCTGTGTTTTGCAGGTGCTAAGCTGGAACAATGGTGGCGGCGCCAAGGTCCTGAACGCGAGCAAGGTGGTGAGATCCATGGCGCTGGTGCACGGGAAGCTCTTCTGCGGCTGCAACGACGGCGGCGTGCAGGAGATCGACCTGGCGAGCGGGACGATCGGCGTGATCCAGCAAGGGAGCAAGAGGATCATCGGCAAGGCCAGCCCGATCTACTCTCTGCATCTTCACGGCGACCTCCTCTACACCGGCAGCACCTCGCTCGACGGCGCATCAGTCAAGGTACCAATAAAAAAGCAAAAATGAAAAACTCGGAAAGCTTGATAAAGTTTTGACAGTTTGAAACATGCCAAAGTTCGAACTCAAATCATATAACTCTCAACTGAAAATGTGTACTTCATACAAAACAGTCGACTCTATCATACAACTTTCAACTCTGGAAACATTTATGTGAAGAGTAATTTTACCATCCTAGAGGTACTATGTTTTCTTCTGTAAAATTTGATACATCTAGATACTAATTATTTCAAGGTACCAAAATTTTTAGTGTAAAATTTAGGTACCTCAAGGTACTTTTTCAAGAACTTTAAAATTCCTCTTATCTGAAAGTACGTGCTGAGAACACAACTGCGCTAAATATAGCAATTTCGACTTGAAACTCTCCGAAAAAAAATGTCATTCCTATAGAAGACCAAAACTATGAAATATGTCGAGGCTCCGTTTGAAACACAGCAAAGTTTGACGAAATTTCAATCAGAACTGAACTGTACCCTGTGAAATTCATGCACACAGTCGATGTATTAGTGTGGTTTCTGGTCTAGGCATGTGGTGATGATGAAATAGGATGTGAATTTTGTTCTCTTTTTTCTGGGTGCAGATATGGAGCAGCTCGAACTACAGCCTGGTCGGGACGATACCGTCGTCGGTGGAGGTGAGGTCGCTGGTGGTGAGCTCGGACCTGGTGTACCTCGGCTCCAGGAATGGCGTCGTGGAGATCTGGTCGAGGGAGAAGCTGACCAGGATCGGCGCTCTCCAGGCCGGCGGCGGCGGCGGCAGCGGCCGGGTCCAGTGCATGGCCGTCGACGCCGACGGCGATGTCATCGTCGTCGGGACATCGGACGGCAGAATTCAGGTTTGGAAAAGAAAATGCATTTTTTTTTCTTCTTCTGTTTCTTGGTTAAGGAATTGTAGAGAGCAGAGCTGGTTGAGAATGATGAGATTTGTTTGTGGTACTCACATTGGGCTTGTCTTGGTTTTGCAGGCTTGGGGATTGACTTGATCGGATTGTTGAGATTATTGTGGAGAAAAGGATTGTTGAGATTATTTTGGACAAAAAAGGATTGTTCAGATTAATGGACATTGGAGGGAGATTAAGGAATAATTAAGTTGGGGGTATTCCTTGTGGTGAATAAAGTGAGAAGATAGAGATGATATGCTTGTAATTTGATTTAATTTTGTTGGCACGCTTTTGCATGACCTGCAATGTGTACATATTGATCATGTCCATACTGAATTACTCATTTCTTCCCTAGCAAAAACAGAAAAAAGAAGTGGCTGGCTTTGTATTCATATACTCCTACTTGATATTAATAGAAGAAAAGAGCTTTTATACCATCTTGAGAATTTACAACAGTTTACTTACTGTTACTGGCACTTTCGAATGGACGCCATTATCACTATCTTGAGAATTTACAACAGTTTTCTTTAGGTGTTGAGATGATGAAATCAGAAAAGAAGAGAAAGCGATTTTTAGAGGAAATTTTCGTTTCAGAGTTTGCTCCTGCTCTCGCCATTCTTCTCCGGCCTCGCCCGAGTAGAGGTCATCCACTGCCTCCCTATCGCCACCAGCTCGCCGGACGCCTTCCTCCGCACCTCCACCACGGCGGCCGTCAGCTTCCCCTTCCGGTGCGCCACCCTCCCATCCATCTCCACCTCCTCCTGCGCGCGCAATCATCATTCGCCGGAGAAGAGCGGGTTAATGGCGGCTGGCCGATTCACAGGAGAAGAGAGCAAGATGAAGATGATGATCCATGGAGGAACCGTACGCCGTGCGCGGCCGGGGAGAAGAAGGACATGGCCTGGCTGATGGTGAACCTGTGCACGCCGTCCGCCGTGTACACCACCGCCGCGCACAGGTTGTCCACCGCCGCCGCCATCGCCCCGGCGTGCCACCTCCCGTCCGCGTCCTGCGCCGCCGCCGCCACCGCCGCAGCAGCAGAAACCAAGAACAAGCAGGTGAGACCGAATCGGAGTGCGAACGAACACGGCGTGGCGACCGACATGGCCGCCGGGAAAGGAAGGAGGACGCACGTACGGCGACGGCGGCGGGGACGCAGAAGGAGCAGACGAGGCGGCCGGGCTCGGCGAGGGAGACGCGGAACCCGGGCATCACCACCGTGTTGAACGCGTCGCCGCAGCCTTCCTCTCTGCTCCTCGCCAGCGAGTCCCGGGGGTTCTCCAGCCACCTCCTCGCCACGGCGGCCAGCCGCAGCGCCGCCGCCGCCGCCGCCGGCGACTCGCCGTCCATGTCGCCGCCCTTGCTAATGCTAGCTTGACTGCCTCACTGGCTCACTCTCCGAGCAAAGCTCTTCTTCATCTCCTCCATGATGAGAAGCTTCGTGTATTTTGCACGATGGCTTCCCTTTCAGATAGGATAGGATTTTGCTAATATCGATTGCAATTTTAAATTTATTTATGATCACGTTGCCGTCGTCCTTTCACGACGACGAGGAGTCCAGGAGTAATTTAGATGTTTTTAAAGTTAGTGGTTGAGGCTTTTAGAACATAGAACCTGTCCAGCTGTCCCCTTTCACAATCACAGAAAGAATCTTATTTTTTTTGGACAATTCACATTGGCAACATGGATCTCTCTAGTTCTCTATACCCTTTCAATTAAGTTAAAATTCAGTATGTTTCAGGATACAAAAAATGAGAGAGATTTTTCTTGCAACACACAAAAGTTACAATCACCTCGATGGTTGCTAAGGTGAGCAATAGATGAACTGAAGAACTCCATTGGGAGCTAGGTAGGCATACCTGGTTCAGAGTCACAGCTTGCTGCTAGCTTGATCCTTCTTTGGCCTGGTGGTCGACATCCACTGCCGGCCGATCGCCACCAGCTCGCCGGAATCCTTCTTCCGGATCTCCACCGTCACCGCCGTCATCTTCCCTTTCTGCTCCACCACCCTGCCGTCCAGCTCAACTTCCTCCTGCAGTACAGAGTTCAGGGAGGTTTTGCATCAGGCTGTGTTTAGTTCATGCTAAAATAGAAAGTTTGATTGAAGTTGGAACGATGTGACGGAAAAGTTAGAAGTTTGTGTGTGTAGGAAAGTTTTGATGTGATGGAAAAATTGGAAGTTTGAAGAAAAAGTTAGGAACTAAACCAGGCCTCAGTCACAATTCAGTCTCTTTTTCAAGGTTTGTTCAACCTTTCAGAAGCTAATGGAATGATGTTGCTCTGTTGAAGTTTCCGAAAATGAGAATAGCAGCGAGCATGATTCGAAAAGTACTTTCTTCAGTGGAATTAATTTGACGAGTACAAATTGGATCGTAACAGAGAAGCGTCTGGACACAGGAGATGCCTGGTTTGGGCTCTAGCTAGAATATGTTCTTAAAGCACAATGTGCTGCAACCGAAAATGTTCCGGACTAAACTTTTTGGAAAAATCTGGTTTCATTGACACTGAAAGATAACAACTTATCTTTACACGACTTGAATTCAGGTCTATAAACTTAGAATACATAATCAGAATATAGTTTTATCTATAAATTGAACTGCTGATCTTTCGGTGCCACTGAATCAAATTTTGCTGTTTTGACTACTACAGTATCACCGTATCATGGTTGCTTCTGGGAATTCTGATTCTGGTGCATCTTAGCTAAAAAAGGCTTAGAGGGGCTTGTACTAGAAACAACCAAGCAACCCAAGTTGAATTGACAGAAATGAATGATAACCTTGCAATCTTCAATTCTTGATCATGAAAGAGCTTGCCTAACTAGTCCAAGAAGTAATTGTTCATAAAAGTCTCCAGAGAAGCACAACTATGCTTTACATTGCAGTATTGCACATTGTATGTAAATAAAATAGTTTTTTTTGTGTGTGCATTAAATAAAGATAGTTATAAAACGAAATTCTTGGCGCTAAAAAAAATCAGCTTTCCTGTTAATGTAGGTTCCTTAACACAAAGGCAAACTATAAATCTTATTATTCAGAATATAATCATACTTGTTCCAGCATGACCAAGCCGATAATCTAATTTACTTGTTACTTTTTGTAGTGCTTGAAAAAAGAAATACGAAGAGTCAACCATTGATCGATTGATTGTGATCGTGTTGTGTCGTGCTAACCTAAACTATTCGCTGTTCTGTTCTGTTCTATTATTTTTTTTTTCTCCTCTATTGGCGTCTTGGGACAAGAAATTGCTAGGAAAAAAATGGCAATGGGGGGAGTAGGTTGGTTTACGGACATGGAGCTTGGCCGGCGAGAAGTAGGAGATGTCGTAGTGGACGGAGACCTTGATGATGCCCTCCACCGACATGATCGCCGCTGCGCACACGTCGTCCGCCGCCGCCGCGATCGCCCCCGGGTGCCAGTTCCCCTCCGCGTCCTGCCGCCGCCGCGCCGATGTCAAAATCAAAACCAAATCAAATCAAATCAAGAAAACGCCGGCGAGAGCGGAGGGACGCGCGTCGGCGGCGCGCGGCGGAAGCAGAGGGCGGCGCCGTGGGGTGGAGATGGGATGCGGCGCGTACCGTGAGCTCGGCGGTCACGCGGAGCGAGCAGACGGCGCGGCCGGCCTCGGCGAGGGAGACGCGCGCGCCGGCGAGGGGCAGCGCGTTGAAGGCGCGGCGGTCGGAGCCGTCGAAGGCGACGCCGGCTTCCTCCAGCCACCTCCGGGCACCGGCGGCCATCCACGCCGGGGCCGGCGGCGCCGCCGCAGCGCTGCCGCCCATGCGGGCGCGCGACTGGTTTTCGCCGGCGTGCGGCGGGCGGCGGGTGGACGGGTTTGACTAGCTCAGGAAGATGACCCCGTCCGTCTGGCACATATATGTGTGAAAGACATTTTCTTTTCATTCTTCTATTGAAACCTCACATACAAACTGCAAAGACTCTTGTGTTAAAAACACATTATTTTTTTTGGAGAACTTCTCTAAAAGTTTTTAGATATAACTACTGTTATATAATGAAAATAGTGTAATTACAATACAACTCAAAAGTATTATACGTGATTAGATTATAACTCAATGGTGGGGCACGTGAAAGGCACATTACGTGTCACGGATTCGAGTCCAGCCTCCCGCACAACGCTTACGACGCATTTGGTTGGGGGAAATAGTTACATTGGAATGTGAGTTTGAGGGGTGGGGACTGTTAAGTCTATTGTTTCGTTGATAAATCGTTGGAGTTTTATAAGAGATTGGGAAGCAGAGTTTAAGAGCGAACTCCCACATTTTCAATATCTGGGTAGGCGCAGGTAATTGGGAGGGAATCCCCTTCTAAGTATGAGGAGATAAATCTGAGTCGTACATCATCACTTAGAATTCAATTCCCATCCATACTCCATATAATTCTCCTCTCTACTATCAAACAAAGAAATGTGTGTAAAAATGAAACTCCCACACACGAATCTTCAAGTAAACCCAACTATCAAAAAAGAGAAGTTTCTCCTCGACTGATTTTCTATAGCAAGTAGCATAGCAAATCTATTTATCTATATAATTACAACCAATAAGAGGCAACCACTTATCGAAAGTTGATGATACATGAGACCACATAATCCATAAATATGGGTCACGTTAGATCGATATCCTTTATCTGATTTGAGCCATCTCGATCTTTTGATGAGCTATACACCCATATTACATTTGGCATGAGAACTTTCTAATCGTATGATTAGGCCACTAATCGTTTGATGGGCTTGAAAAGCACAATGATTATTTTTGCACATCTATTTTTGGTGTTTTAATTTCTCCAAATCTGTTTGTAACCACAAAGTTTTGCAATTTTTTTAATAACCACAATGCCCTTCAGCAATGTGTGACGTATCAACTAGCGCTTTTAAATAAATGTGAGGCTCTCTTTTAAATATAACCTCTTCAAGAACATTAGCAATTGTATAGGAAGAAGGCATAAAGTGGTGGCGACGGATTTCAAAAGAGGACGTGGTGTCGGCCAGGGAGGGAGGTCGATATGACCGCGCCTGGTGATCGGAGGGAAGTTGACACGGTGGCGATAAGAAAGGAGGTGTGACAATGTTCTATTTGTTTGTGAGTTCTTTCTTTGTGCTTTTTTTTGTGTTCAATGTTGTGTTTGTGTGCAATCTAGATCAATTGTGGATAATGCTCTATTTAACATGTTAGTAGTTAGTAGTGATGAATGTTCTCTTGTGACCAAGGTATATTTTAGATTGCAATCTACTCTAACCCCTATGCTACCATAGGCATGATTGGCATGCTCTGGCCTACTTACCATTGACTTAATTAGAGGTCTGCATGCTACCGATTATGTCTCAAATGGCAGCACCCCCTCAACATAAGCAACATCATGACTTTGAACACTTAGTTTAATAACCATGATAAACGAACAGTTACCGTTGAATTTTCAAAATCCTGGTTTAACCTATCTACCTAGCAAAATCAAAAATCAAGGAAATGATATCTTGATATTTCTAAGTTCTATAAGGGGAATGTTAATATCTTTTCTATCAGGAGTAAGGAGGAGAAAATCCATGGCTGAGAAGACGCCTTTCTTCCTAGATCAAGCCTCTTTCGTGCACCACCAAGACCAAATCTTTCTCCATGAAACCATCGACTAGAGGAGATATATGGCTACTATTAATTACAAAAAGATCATTAAATCTATAGGGGAATTTGTTTTCACTCAGCGGCCTAAATCTACTTAGAGCCAAGAAGTTAGATCAGGACAGAACGACAAAACACAACTAGAACAAATCCAACAAAGAGAAATCAGAGAATTAAAACGATCGACCAAGTATTAAATCAAACCTAGGGAGAGAAAAAGAAAAGAGAGAATGCAAAAAGGACATAAATAATCACGATGCAGGACTTATCGGTGCATGGTGGGAGGCGGCCAGTTCATCGACGGATTATGGTGATGCACAGACGGGGCACAGATTAAGCAAGATCTCTTGTGGAAATTGGGGAGGCTGAAGCACGAGCATTTGTCACTCTTTCAGGTGGCAATTTCAAGTTGTTCTACCCAATGGCTCGTTTACATGTGGGTCATACATGTCTTAGACATATGAGTGTCAAATCGTCTATAGAGGAAAAAAAACTCCCTACATGAAGTATTTAATGGGGGTTCTCATATGAGTTTTAAATATGCACATTCCTCTCTTAGCTTGTTTGGAAACCTGAGGGAAGAGGGTTGGAAGTTTGAATGAGGGAACTGATGGCGAGATTAGCATGGTAATTTGATTTTTAATACCAATCTCTTATTTTATAGAGGTAATTGTGATTAGTAGGAGTTTAGATGGAGATTAGATATTAAGTGAAATAGATAACTGAAATGTGTCTAGGCAACTTTAAGTGGGAATTTCTTCCTAACTCCCATTCCCTACCCAAATACTCCCTCCAATTATGATTTTCTTGACATTTTGGACATAATCTCGCATACCAAGGAGTGATTTATTAGATGCCTAATTCCTTCTCTATCCATATTAAATATGGTGATGTGCTAATTGGAATCAACAAGTTGTTATATCCTAGGTAGTTTAAGCCTATCACTAGCTTATGTGCATTGTGCGCAGGAAATGAAGCGACCTGGACAGTATAGAAACTAAGCACTCTGCAGTAATGGGATGCATGCATGTAGGGGAAAGCGACTAAAACATCAAAAATTAGCATACTTTGGTTCTATCCCCAAAACGTCAACAAGATTAGAACTCGAGGGAGTATCAAAAAGTAGATAATTTATTCCTCAATTTTTTATTCCCATCCCACCAAAACTCCCACACCCTCTAAACAAACATAACAATTAATAGTCTCATCCCTCTAATCTCCCAATCCCTCATATAAGCTCCCTCCAACCAAACCCACCCTCTAGGTGCTCATATGCTGGTGAGAACCAATTTTGAACACTACATTTGAGAAAATAACACACTATGTTAGTAATTTAGTATGGCACGTGAAAATGAGACAACAACACAACACTACTTAGACCAACAGTGGTTGAAACACTAAATTAAATCACCAAAACACTAGTCCACCTACAAGCCACAAATACTCATATTTAAAAGAAATTTATCCCTTTTTATATATTCCACATGCAAAGACTCATCTCCCCCCCCTAAAAACAAAATGTGAGCAACAAATTTGTCAACAGTATATCTAGAATTGAGATGCATGAATAGTATAATGCACCATCATTCCCAACATCTTTATAACAAAAAGTTAATGTATGTGGTGTGATTTTTAAAACTTTCTTCTAATTTGTTTGAAAACCTTTCCACAAATTTGCACATCTCAAGTCCATTTTCCTTTCTTTTAAAAATCCTAATTTTGTTTAGTTAAAACATACTGGCTACATATGGTTGTGATAGGATAACATGAATATACCATTAAAATTATGGAAAATAATGGTTTTTTTCTAAATAAAATAACATCATAAGCATTATAAGAAAAAAAAACCTAGATGGTCATGGCGATGAAAAGGGAATTACGGATAGTGTTGGGGCCAAGAGACCACATAGAGATATATCATTGTCGATGAAAAAGTGGTTACTAATAGGCTTCATTGATGTCGTAGAGGGACACGATGTGGGTGTGGGAGGGGGGGGGACGAGGTGGTGGCAACAATAAGTAAATCTAGAGGATAGGTGTTCCATTAGAGGTTGAACTAGGGTATAGGTAGGAGGAAGGCTTTCACCTTTGTATGAGATCCAATAGCCTAAATTTGACGGGATTTTGATTGAAAAATAAGCGCCTATCAAATACAATTCATTTTTAAATCTTTTAAGTTTGTTTAAAACTCTTTTCTGAGTGTTTTTTTCACTCTATAATGATGATTTCTATTTTTAACTCAAATTTCTGTAAGTGCACCGGTGTAGAATCGAACTAACATAAAAGAGTGGGACCTAGACCCATGGTTCTTAAATTTTGGTTTTGTTAGGTACCTCACGGCGTATACAACGTTTTTATGTAGGGGCCAACATATAGGTATTAAAAATCAATCTTTTTCTTCTAATGTCTCTTCCATTTCCCTTTTTTATCTTTCTTCTCATGTACATTGATAAGCAATGCCAAAGTGAGTGAGTAGCCTGATGACGGTGATGTGAAGATATGATTTAATGGAAGCCACCTTGATCTAGAAGTGGGGAACTCTGATCTTGTGATGGATACACGATCTAGTGTGCAAAGATTTGGTTAATTGAGTAGTAAATGAGCTCCATTCCGGCAACATCAACATTCATCTAGTGGCTTTGAACTCCAATTTGACAACATGACATAGCCTTCTTGTCATGTGCTGCCACCTCTTTCCCTCGAGGTGGGGACTCATGCGTGAGCTTCCCTAAGGTGGTCGCGCTTCGATGAGTGGGCTCCTTCCTATTGGTGGTGGGTGCCAACTTATGCATCGGTTACTTGACTCCTTCTTGCTAGTAACAATTATGATTTTGTACGCTAGCGACTCGGACTAGTTTAGCTAGCTTTGTTGGTTCAAACCAAAGAATCTTGATGTTTTGTTTACTTGCTCCATGCTCAAATCGAACGAAATCCTCACCTCTATCTCTCTTGGTTTGATTTTATCGGCACAAGCCACACATAAATATCCTAAGGGGTGGACCTAGACCCTAAACAACTTAGGCCATAGCACAAGCCTCAGAAGTGAAGGCCTATAAATCCACCATGTGAAAATTTGACGTGAGCTAAAATAAAATGTGCCGATGGATCCATACGTGAGGATTGAAAGCCCACTATGTAAGGCATATTTTTATCATGTAAATTCAAGCACGAAGCAAAGTGCAATAGGTTGTCCCCGAGCCTTAGGCTAATGCCATGTTAGTCCTTGGGCTGACCCACGAGCCTCACTAAATTAATGCCAGATGTTTTTTTATAATGGATTAAAACTCGGCCTTCTATATCATGTGCGGATATACACGGCTAACCTACACAGAATATATCATTGATTTAAATTTCAACAGAATAAATACTTTTGTAGTGAAGAGTCCAACAACACGGCATCATCCCCATCCCAATGAGGGAGAATATGCAGTGAAAAACATATACATATACATACATACATACATACATACATATATATTGGAAATATGAAAAATACCGTAGGATGAAAAATGGACATATGAGATTTATCCACGTAAGCACGAGTAAAACTTTTACTCTCATAACCATGAGTAAAAGTGTAACGGGGAGTAAATATTTTCCTAACAATAACGGAGACAAATATGTACCAGACGTCTATTTTTACGTGCTAAAATAGTTTTCATATATTTTTTTTACACTACATATTTTCTTCGCGCAATTACCATCACCATGTGCAGGAAGCATCAGCGGCACAGGAACCTCAGAAGATCCGACAAAACGACGTGCAACCCAGGGATCTGATCTCCATTGCCATGCCATGTCATGCCAAATGCCCGAGTGCGCCGGTTGCGACACGGGCACTCGCAACCATCCATCGCTCCGCTTCTTTCTACTGTGTGTCTGTACTCTTGTGTGTTCCAGTGGTAAGGCATCCCACCTAAAATTTTTCATCCTGTCACATCAAACGTTTGAACACCTATATAAAATATTAAATATAGGCTAAAAATATATAATTACATAGATTGCGAATAATTTACGAGACGAATCTTTTAAGCCTAATATCTCCATGATTTGATAATTAATATAATGCTACAGTAAACATTTGCTAATGAGGGATTAATTAGGTTTAATAAATTCATCTCGTAGTTTACTGATGGATTGTGTAATTAGTTTTTTATTAGTGCCTGAACCCTATACAACATATAATATAATAGCCGATGTAACACGTTAAAACTTTAGGCCACTGGATTTAAAGCCCGTGCAGCGTCCCAAAGCTAAAGACAAAGCTTAAGCTCAGTGTCAGTGTCACAGTGTCAGACACGACGAGACGACACGACGACGCCCCACGTGCAAACCGCAGTGCTTGGCACCATCATTAACACGCCATACTTAACGCTGATTGCACTTATTAATTCTGTAGCCACGAGATGATGATGGCAAGTTCAAACGGAGCTGGAGGCAGAGCTAGAGTGAGACTGTGAGAGTGAACAAGAGATAAGCTAAGCTAGTACAGCAACCAGCAAGAACAAAGAAGAGTGGCCGGAGTGGGCGGGGGAGATGAGCTCGGCGGCGGCGGCGACGAGGTTCATCAAGTGCGTCACCGTGGGGGACGGCGCGGTGGGGAAGACGTGCATGCTCATCTGCTACACCTGCAACAAGTTCCCCACCGTTGAGTGCCGCGCCGCCGCTAATCCCTTCCTCTCCGTTCTTGCTCCGGCCCGCCGTGCTGGCCTATCTTCTCTTCGGCTCGATTTGGTTTGGTTTGGTTTGATTTGATTCGGTTTGGTTTGGGCAGGATTACATCCCCACCGTGTTCGACAACTTCAGCGCCAATGTCTCCGTGGACGGGAGCGTCGTCAACCTCGGCCTCTGGGACACTGCAGGTGGGGAAAGCTAGCTCAAGCTCACCCTCAATCTCAATCTCAAGCTGGGGCTTGCAAATCTTGTTCTCCTCTTTGATTTTATTTTCTCAAGTGTTGCTGCTCACTTGTGCTCAGCTCAGAGAAAGATCTGATTTAGTGATTTTGATTCTCGTTTTGGTTGGGGACTGTTGGTTGCAGGTCAGGAGGATTACAGCAGGTTGAGGCCTCTGAGCTACAGGGGAGCCGATGTGTTCATCCTGTCCTTCTCCCTGATAAGCAGGGCGAGCTATGAGAATGTTCAGAAGAAGGTGAACTGCTTAGAAACCCCTTGTCATTCTGATGCAATTTTTTACTTGGTTGGATATGTTACTTTCCTTCGCATTGCGCTAGTAGAATCGCTATGGTTTCCTGATGCATTGCATTGGCAAGATTGTAGATATGTAGTTCAGAAATACGCACTGTTTCAGGTATTCAGGTGGGCATTATGCTGAGGAGGTATCATGTCAAACAAACATGGAAGAATATTAAAAGCATTGAACAATTTGTCGTGTGTAATAATAACGCTTTCTAAAAGCGTGATTCGTACAATTGCTTTCCTCGAAAAGAACAAGGCCAGTTGAGCCGTGGAGACTTAGACTTTGCTCGTCACGCTTTTCTTTTGCAGCTGTTTGTGCATTATATGCAAGGTTATAATATAAAGCCGAAGATGAAATTGCGAGCAAAGGAGATAATTTCTGTTAATGCCGAATTAATTACCAGTTGACAAAATTGTTAGGAGTTGTGGCTCACTTTTGATTTACTTCGATAATGGTAAAACGCCTCCGGTTGTTTGCTCTATAATAGCTTCCTAATGTAAATAAGATATCAACACGAAGCTTACTACCTAGAGACAAGAAAGCCCATTTACATGTACACCACATTGCATCATGCTTTGTCTCATTACCTTTAGAATCTCTAAAGTGTGTACTAATGACCTGACTTCATCTGGACAGTGGATGCCAGAGCTTCGCCGGTTTGCGCCTGGTGTTCCTGTAGTTCTTGTTGGAACCAAGTTGGGTATGCTATGCTATTCATTAATTCACCCTTTACCTTCTGAAATTTCTTAATTTTTTGAACGCCATTCAACCCCACGAAGATATTTGATACAGTAACCACAGCCCAGTGACATTCTTTGCTGATGCTGCATTACCGATTTCCTGTCTGTTCAGATCTCCGTGAAGATAGGGCCTATCTTGCTGATCATCCAGCTTCTTCCATAATAACAACGGAGCAGGTTGGTGTTTTGACTGTGACAAGAGAATGACACATTTTTGCCACATTTAGGTTAGCCAGGTTTCACATTTTTAGGTCACAGTTTGGTTCATGCCAAAGTTGTGGCTCAACACACTTTCTGAGCACCTTGTCACACTTGTCACACACAATTTTTCCAAATACTTGTGGCACTTGATTTGTTAGCCATGCTTTGTGTGTGTTGCCCACACTTTCGGAAGAAAACTGTGGCAAGATGTGGCACACATCCTCAACAATGAGACTTTCCTGACTCTTTCTACATGTTAGGGAGAAGAACTGAGGAAGCTAATAGGAGCGGTCGCCTACATCGAATGCAGCTCCAAGACACAGAGAGTATGCTTCTGTTATACCCTATGCAGGAAAACTTTGGAATTTTGAGCTCCTTCATATTTAATCATTTACTCACATCCTAATCTAAAGAAATGTTCTTTTTCTTGGTTACTTGTAGAACATTAAAGCTGTTTTCGACACTGCCATCAAAGTGGTGCTTCAACCTCCAAGACATAAGGATGTAACCAGAAAGAAACTCCAATCAAGCTCCAATCGGCCAGTAAGGTACCTTTGAAGTTTACACTGTCTGCTCACACTTCATCAGTCATCACTTCATCAGTGGTGCATCATCTTTTCCAGTTCAGCATTTTGATTTCCAATGAGGCCTTTGACACTTGATCATGATTCTGTAGGCGGTACTTTTGCGGAAGCGCTTGTTTCGCGTAGTCAATAACCAAGAAGAAAAAAATGTGGTTTTTGTTCCATCACCATGATGTTCAGATGGCCCCATGGATCTACTCAGAATGGGATAGAAGATCATGGTTGAATCAACATTGCTTGCAGCTAGGAGGAACTTCTAGTTCTCTTTTTTTCTGCAGTGGAGCTCCTTTTGTTTCTCCTTTCTCTTTTTTTCTTATGTTGTAAAAGCTCCAGAAAGTTTTACCCTTGGTAATAAGATGTGCTCTTCTGGATGGCTACCTTTACCCGTATCTCCTTTCACTTTGCGAAATGTTGGAAACTACTGGACCTAACAGACCTAACAGACAAACAAAAAAGAAGCCACATGCTTCAACCTTTTCTTATATACTTTGGATTGAATACATAGGAAGTTAATTACATCATGGTATCACCAATTTATCATCCATGTTACCATTAGGCCAAGCAATTGAAGCAATGAAACAACACGTGGCTGAAAAAGGAGAATGCAAGTCTCCTATACATGAATGGATTACAAGAAACAATCAAAACAAAGAAACAAGAAGCATATATACCCAGCTTCTTCAGATCACACAGACATCCAGAAAAATGGCACGGCAAAAAAGTACTGTAAATTCTCCGGTGTTGACTTCAAGAGTAAGGTAACACATCAATCTAGAAGTTTACAACACATTGATAACGAGAGCTAGTCGTTTCAACCTTAACACCGACAAAACCATTTCTCGCCGTCAGTCACACACAGCTCACAACACTATAAACCTCCTTATGGTAATTACAAAATGGGGGAGACATTTTTTCAACAAGGTTACACATTTCTCCTTGTACAAACAAGCGCACTAGTATGAGTACAACTACAAAGTAACAGGAGGACGTTTCTTGGACTGGCAAAACAAAAACCGGATGCTGCACCTTGCAAAGCCCTTGTTCACTGTCTGGCAGGTTCCCATCCAGAAAATGGGGCATCCACAACTTACAAGAAGCCTGCAAGAACCATCCTTGCTAACATAAGTAATCATTCTTTTTTCTTAAACTGATAAACTTGCAAGAAGAAAAAGTTCAACTTACCTTACAGCAGATCCAGCAAAGCCCTCCTCTTACAGTATGACTATTTGGCGCCATAAAGATGAAATGTATGATTGTAAATGTTCAGGAATTATGCACACCACTTTCTGCTTCAGCGGTAATCCATATACTCGTTATCGTTACTGATTGTAGTAAAATCAGCTGGGTTCTTGTTAGTTATACAGATATCCTGTCTCACAAACCGATCCAAGGGATGAACCATTTTACCCTTGCCTCTGGTCCAAGATTGAGCTATGCTGTTCCTCGCTGATAAAAAATCTGCACTGGAGCTAACAGAACCCAACTGCAATGCATTCCATTTTGCTGAAAACATTCCAGAATTCAGGGCTTCAAAATGTTCCTTTCTGTTCATCTGATGCGATGTTATTCCTGTTGACACTCCTAACTTATAACCAGATTGTGTGCCACAGTTCTCCGACCAGTTTGCAATTTCCTTCTGCAGCAAGGAGCCAAGCACACCAACTCTAGGATGTGGGCGTAAAGGTCTGTGCAGATCATGCAGCTGATGCCGTGATAAGTCTTCGAATGTCAATGGAATCTTTCCATTCAGGTTACTGCCATATGATGTGCTGGTTGATCCTTTGTACTGATTATGTGCATACTGAGAATTATGAAGTTGAGACTCCATCTGGTTCCTGCTAGAAGTTCCATAGTTGGGGAAGCTTGCTAATGTTGATGGATCCATCATTCTCAGAAGATGCGTCGCAGGCATGGATTCTTTAGGATACAAGACTACTTGTCCAGCATTTCTCCGATCACATAACTTACTCGCTTCCATGGTTGCTATTGTGCTTGGAAAATTTCTTGCATGGACCTGGTTAACCGCTCTTTCAGCATAGCGGTCCAGTGGCGCAATTACTGGTTGGCGAGATGCATAATTGCTGGAAGATCCCATGACATGAGTAGAAGTCAAGTCAACTGCTTGGATACCAGGTCTAAATTGAGCACCACATGTTGCTGCTGGAGAATTTCTTGTAGTGGCCTTAAATTGCTCCCACGTTAGCTTCTTTGCGTCCTTACGGCCCCAATGTTCAGTTGGTGCTTCAGCAATATACTGATCATCATGATGTGAAAATAGTGGTGAGCTTGCAGCAATAGTGACCATTTCTTCCATCCGCAAATGTGTCTGCTGTTCCTGAGTAGACTGAAAGTTCTGAGGATGTGGAGACTCTTGTGTGGTCAATGCCAAATGACCCTGTAACTCCTTCTGTGTACTTTGGGATGCCAAGGACTTCTGTTGGGAATTAGTGTCAAACACACTTGATGCATAATCTGAACCATCCTTGGCAGCTACTATTACACAATCATCATCAGCAGTTGTCTTGGATTGAATACGGTTGATGTCAGAACAATCAGTCTCAGTCATAAGCTGCCTCTCATGCTGGTTTTTAGCTAGCAGTTCAACAATATCCATGGGGATGTCATCTATCATGGTCTGTTTTTCACGAGTCACTTCAAGTTTTTGCTTCTTTTTCTTCTTGGGTAGACTCTGCTCATGAAGGTCAGACATAATTTGGATATCATGCTCAGCTGGAGAAACCTGAGATGAGAAATGAGGAAAATGTCAGTCCATTACAATCACTATAATATGAGTCTAAAAAAGAATATTGCGCCACGCACGTGCACACACACGCGCGCACACACACACACACACACACATGCACACATGCACGCACACACAAAAAGAGTATCAAAACATAAGTAAAGAAGAACAGTGGAAAGCATATAAATAAACATTGTATGCATATTTCTTAACATTGTTATGCACCAATATTATTCCTTCATACAGATAAATGTTGATTCAGTCAATTTAAAAAGCAAAAATTCCTCATGATTCACAAAATTCGTACCTTTGCCGAGTGACTCAGAACAGAGTTTTCGGTTTCCATCTGGCATTGATCTTCTGCGCTGAGTACATGTATGTTCTGACCATTTCTGGTGCTTTCACCACCATATTTGGTACTAGCAGCTGAATGTGTTTTCCCCTTACTCAAACCCGCTGTTTTCCCCTTTGATGAGCACCTCTGTGTGGAGATTTCTGATACATGCTGACAGACATCTGTCTTATGCATATTTGTGTCAAGACCATTTTCAGTATCATTCTCATCATCATGCTGAGTACTCGCAGTGGGTGTCACTTTTTTGTTGCTCAAATTCCCAGCTGGATGAGCAACTGTGTGATGCACACTTCCAGTTCTTTTCTTTTTTCCATTCAGCCAGTTCATAAGTGATGATCCATCATCTACAACATCAGAGTATTTGCGTTTTGTCTTGTTCTTACTTGATTTTAACCCATCTTCTCCCACTGTATGGTTGCTAACAGGAATATCCATGCTTACTTCCATCGGGACCGGGATGGTACTTCTATCATCCTCACAGGGATCAGCGGCATTTTCACGATGAACTTCGTCACTTCTAGAATCCTCAACCTGGTTAGCATTTATAATTTCTGATAGAAGCCGCACCTTTTTTGGCTTTCTCCGACAAAGCTTTGCATCTGAAACATCAGCCTGGGCAGTGCGTTTCTTGCTGTGCTGCTGCTTCTTCATCAACTTCTTATCCGTCTTCCTCTTAGATTTGGAGCTTCTTTTGAGAACAACTTCTTCACATGGCTCATTGCAGATCTGCTCACATTTCTGCCCAGACACTGGTTTCGGATCTTTGGTCAAATTGCACTGCTCAGCAACCTGATCACGTTCCTTTCCAGACATTGGGTTAGGATCTTTGGTCAAATTGCACTGCTCAGCAACAAGAGTCTCTTCAGTTTTTCCATTTTCATCTTCATTTCTTTTGAGGACCACTTCAGAAAGTTTTGGAGTGGATGGAGGTTGATCTGCACCATTTACTTCTATGTGCCATGTAATCTGGGGAACTTCAGGTAAAGCCCCAACATCAACAGAAGTGTTGTCCTCAGAGACATTTGCTGCCACATCATAATTTTGGGCTGGCCCTTGCAAATCTGAGAAAATCACACAAACATTAGTTTATTCTATACCTTAAATAAAATCCTACTTAGGAATTTGAAAGGCTCTACATCTACCATACCTTTCATTGGTGAATCAGTATTGGCCTCAGCAGCTCCATTCTTGCCAGAAGGCGCATTGCATTTGGAGTCATTGCCTTCTTGCACACTCTTTGGAAGAGTTGATCTATCAGCATTCTTCCCTTGAGATGATTGTGTGCTAGGAGACACTTTTTGGGAACCAACACTAGCAGGCACAAAAGTGCTCCGAACAAATGTGATGGAGCAACCATCACTTGTGCCATTCTGCTTTGCGGGAAGAGTTCTTGGTGCTGTTCCATTATCTGAAGTTTTCAACTTATCCAAGCACTTCGAGCAATCCCATCGTCGAAACTTTGCTACAGAAAATGGGCTTGAACTAGCTTTGTGTTCATCACATTTTTTCTGGTCATGGAAAATCCGAGATAGAGAGCAGAATTTTGGATCCTTCTTCTGAAGAAGAGCAACATACCCTCTGGTACAAGAAAAATAAGATTATCATTATAAAGATGCATGGCACATATATATAGCACATTGCGTGCTTCAGTCAATATACAACTGATAAACTCAGAAAAGGCCCTACATAATCTAAAGGATGCTGGGAGGTAGGCATTTCATACATAGCTTGTACAGTCCAGAAAAAGAGGACCTTCAAGATAATCTAAGTATTGCAGTTTGAATTCAAAGATAATACAAATAGCATGACAGGATAAACTACAAAAATAATAATCTAATTAGTTCTAGAAAGTATTAAACCAAAACGTGACAAGTCTATGGTTGATATATATCATCTCTAGAATCTCTAAACAATTGAAAAGGCTTAAAATAATAATGGACTATCAAATCAAACATAATGCAAATATGAAGAAACCATCAGTTCTAAGAATCTCCTAGGATGTAAACATGCTTATGATAAAAAAGTTTTATGCTGAACCTCAGCACAAAGGAAAAATGATTACAAAAATGTAGGGCCCAATATATGAGTGTACCCCAAAAAGGTTAATTTCATTAGTAATCAGCTTGTTCAACAGAAATAATATACAAACACAAATATCTAGCTACAGCCTACAGCATGGCCTGAATAAATGCATGCGCACCCCAACACAAACAAATATGATCAAACACCTAATGAACACACATACAGACATGCATATGTGTAGCACTCACAATCATGTGCTCAGATTCATACATTGAAGATATTAATGGATGTACGTAGAGTATAAAGATACATGAAACACCAACATATATGCAAATATTATATATATTTTTTGCTGCTAGCCTGCTAGCTGTGCTATGGCATAAATGAGTTCACATGGCTAGATATAGAGCTAGTAGTGGATGTATTGACTTCCTAAATCGAACCAAAGTCATAAGCATGTCGACCCAGTGTATACGATCGTACAAAACAGATGACCATATAAGTCCCAACAGCAAACTGTGCAAAAACCACGATCAATCATACTCTTCCATCAAACAGTGCAATATGGCATGACATGCCGATTCATTATTCATCCACAACGCGATACTGGAATTGGAAATACAGAAAATGATTACCTTATGGAGAAATGCTCGCATTGGTGTTGTGCCGGTTCGTCTACACCAGCTTCAGCGGCTGCATCCTGACGAGGCGTCGCTGTCAGCTCCAACACTGGCGCTACAGCACCAGTTCCACCACGAGCAAGCATACAGTTCGTCCCAACAACACGAGCTCCCTCCTGATCTACTGCAACAATCTCCATATCGATCACCACGACGAGGAGAGAATCAACACACAGCTAGCACAGCCGAGGCACAACTCAATATCAATCCAGCAGTGATCTTGTAACGCCGCGAATTAGCACATCAACAATCCAAGCACAAACCACAAACCACAAACCACAAAACACGAGCTCTGGATATATCACAGAAGACAATCAATCAGCTAGCCGCTGCACACGCTAGAACAACCTGAAACAGAAACCAGAAGAAACAAATTAATGAAGTAGTAGGCAAGAAGAAGTCAAGCCGATGTAGCAATAGCACGCACGCACGCACAATATATATCCACTTCAATCAGCTCATGGAATATAAGAGCACCAGAAATTCGAGCGGGCAAAATTATAGCAAGAAATAAATTCCCCCAAAACCTAGATAAACAAAGAGAGAGGGGGTGCGAATTAAACTAATTAATTACCGCGCCACATATACACAACCATAATTAACCTTCCAAATAATACAGGTATAGCTAAGATAGACACATGCATGCACAGAGAGAGAGAGAGAGAGAGAGAGAGAGATGGGTAGATCTAAAACCTAGAGGGAGGGGCCGCATAAACCGCCGTAACTAAAATCCGCGCGGTAACTAGGGCTCGTACGTAGCCGCGAGGATCCCCGCAAAAGACGGGATTTTTTTTTCTTCCGCGACATGAAATATAAGGGCTTTGGTTCCCATGGAGGCGAGGAGCTCGAGGCCCGAGAGAGGGGCACAGCTGGAAAGGGGGCGGACCTAACGTGGGGCTTCGGATGAGCTGAACCCCTCTCCTCCCCCAAAACCGCAACCCCCCAACCCGAAAGGAAGAAAAAAAAGTGGGGAAATCGGAAGTAAATCGAGGCGAAATTGGATGGGTCGATTTGGGGGGAGGGGGGAAGAAATCGGTCAAAACCAAACCCCCCGCGGGAGCTGTTCTTGCGGCGGAGGAAAAGTTCGTTGATTACCTGGGGGGTTTGCGTTTGCTCCGACAGCCGCGACGCAGGCGGGGCGGGGCGCGATCTACCCGGCGCGCCGTCGACCTCTCCCCGGAGCTAGCTGCTGCTTCTTCTTCAGGCGGGGGGAGCGGGAGGGGGGCTTATTGGAGAAGACTAGTAGTAGTCGTCGTCGTCGGAGGAGGAGGAGGAGATGCGGGGTGGGGCGGTGGATTCGATGAAGCTAAGACGCGGTTGGCGCCCGGAGAGGGAGATCGACTGGTCGCCGTGGTCGGTCGGCTCCCGGGGAAGGAAGAGGACGCAGGCGCGCGGGCGCGCCGCGGTGGATTCCGATCGAGTGGGTCTCGGAACGCGGCCGGCGGCGGCGGCGCGGTGGTGGTGGCGGCGAGTACTGCAGGAGGAAGAGAAGCTGCGGGGGGAGGGGAATAGGGTAAGAAGGGATTTGGAGTGGAGAAGAGAGAGAGAGGGGGGTGGAATGGAAGGGAAAAGAGGAGGAGGAAAAAGAAAGGATTGTATATTTTATTTGTACGGGAGTTGGAGTTGGAGTTGGCGTTGGCCAGTCCGCCCTGCCCCTGCCCCTGCCCTCACCTCACCTCCGCAGCGCTGCCCTGCTGCGTGTGTGGGCCCCGCACGCCTTTCCCTTCCACTCTTTCTCTCTCTCTCTCCTTTCTCTTCTTCTTCTATCTCCAGTAATAAAAATGATAAAATAAGCTCCATATACTACTGTGTACTCTACCTGCCGCTGTACTCTACCTGGTATGTGTATATAGGTAGGTATAGAGGTACCGATACTGCCCGAGCATGCGTAGGTAGTATACTCCACTCTAATATCACGCGTACATGCATGCTAAATAATATTGTACCGGTTAATACGTAAATACGTAGGAGTAAAAAAAATTGTACCTATCTGTGTTTTATACTCGTGATCTACAAAGTATTACTATATAACATACAGTGCTTTGTAATATAAGTAGTTTTAAAATGCAGAGAGCAGAGATATATCAAACTCTGACGAAGTATAGATCAAACAACAGAGTTGATTGCCCCCTCTGTGTTTATGTGTTCTCTGTGTTTGTTTGTGTTGTCTTTATTTTTTTTAAGCCTAGATTGATTACTCACTATGTGGTGTTTAACATGTTAAATTAAACTACAGCGGCTTTCTTCCTGCCAAGGCATGTCTAATGTGATGTTCCAACCACTATATGTTGTACCAAGTTAAATATACCACATAGTTATTCTTATCTCAGTCGAATTTTCAATCAATAGATCATATAACTAGGTAGACACATGTCACTAGTGGTACATAATGGCTCTCACCACCCCATGCACAGCATATGTATGTGAGTGTCCTAATCTATATAAAACGCTTAACCTTAGTTCTCGACACAGGTAGAATGGATTTGACACTGACCTTTCAGTTGGGTTTCTTCTATCAAACTCATAGTCTACGATGTTAGACAATGGGGACGTGTAATGTGTGCCCTTGCCACATGCACATGATAACCATGTTGTAATAGGCACGGCCGGCATGCTCCGACTCTAAGTGCCATTGACCTAGAGAATGGCCTGCTACATACCGATGTTGCCTAGCTCAAAAGTTTGTTTCTCCTTAAACAAAAACAACTTCATTGCCAATAGGCAGTTGGCCTTAGTGAGGCTACAAGTCAACAAAGCCAGCCTTCCTCCGTTGCTACCCATCCTATGCAGGACGGCACGTACGCACATGAAGCCATCGACGCCTACGTGTATGGGAGGATATCCACAATCTACCAGCATTAAGCCGACACCTCTAATTCTAAATTATTGATGCCAACACAGGCAGTCACCCGTTGACACCCATGTGCAACCGCGATAAACGACTAGTTGTAGTCACATTTTTAAATCCCGTTCTAACCTGACTATCCAACTAAACCAATATTTTTACCAATAGGAGCATGGAGGAGAAAATACCAATCCAATGAGCTCATTTTCTTCATAAGCCATGCCCCATCCGTGCGCCACAAATATCAAATCTTTATCCATGAAACCATCGTTTGAGGAAGTACGAAGGTCATTACTCAAAAGGGGATTAAATTGTAAGGGAAATTGTTTTTCACTTATTGACCTAAATCTACCATGGGAACTTAGATTGGAGTCGAGAATCGAAAATGATTAGTGCGAGGAAAAAAGGGCTACCAAGATCATATCGGGGCTAAGATGGTGAAACCAAAGTAGACCGAATCCAATCAAGATAAATCAAAGGATTAAAATGACACAATTAGGTAGATTAAATCTCAAGAGATAACTAAGAAAGATCATAAACAATCAAGATGCAGGGCCATGGGCAGACAGCAAACCAATAGATGAATCAAATTGTGGACCGTTTTTACGGGTTGAAATTGTTCAGACTCATCTCTGATTGGTCAATGCAAACGGAGTGATGGTCCTACATGCCATTGACCTCTCAATGTTACTTTGGTATAGAAGTCTCGAGATGCTCTGCTGACCAATGGTTGGTCTTTAGTAAGTCGGTAGGACAAGAACCTCTTCAAGAACAGTAGTAACAATTGTAGAAGAAGGGAAGATGTCGTGGTTATGGATTTTGAAGTGGACACAGTGGCAGCTAAGGAGGGAGGTCAACACAACCATGCTTGGCATTTGGCGATAGTGGTAGCCAGGGAAGAGGTGTTGCAGCGTCCTATGTTTGTTTGTGTGTGTGTGTGTGTGTGTTTGTGTTTTTCTAGCAATGTAGGAATGCGGCCACCAATCCGAGTAGAGCTACCATTCCTACATTGTTGTACATATAGCTGCATGATGTCGTTGTGCATGTGCATACTAGTGAGGATTCGCTAGATTCATAGTCTCCTAGATCGACACCCACATGTCAATGATGCTCAAACATGATAGCAAGCAAATCGATGATGCTAGTCACACTATTTTCCCTTCCATTAAGCCAATAGATTCCCCTATAAGCCGACAGAACAGTGCAACCAAGGCAAAAGGACCTACTATGCTACCTAGCCTGTTCAGACAAGCCATTGTACTGCTACTCCGGTCCAAAGTTTTATAAACCATTCCATCACCAAATAGCACTCCTAAGCGGTTTTGTCGATAACCATGATTGCCATTCAATTACTGACAAAAACTAGTGAAATTGGACGAATTTTGTCAGCTTGTTTCTTTTGAAATTGACCTATATACCAAGTTGGTTTCTCGTTATTTATTAGCTCAATAATGTTCGTCACATTTTGAACCCTTGTCTACCTAGCTAGCCCAGCGAAATCCAATCAACGATAGATCTAAGGCCTACCAGGCGATAGCTGACATCCTTTCCAGTAGGAGCACAAGGAGGAGAAAATTTGCATCCAAGAAGACCCCTTTCTTCCTAGACCACGCCTACGGCTATCGACGAGCTGAGGTCACCTGCCTAGGCTCGACTTTAACACAAGCTCAAGCAAGCCTATATAATCTTCGAGCTTCCAAGCGGGCTCGCCTCGACCTCGACTACCAAGCATGGCTCTTAATTAGTATAAGATATATTTTAAGGATATATAATATCAATAAAAATAAATAATTTGTTGTTAATCACATTAATGAAAGAGGAGAAAAGGAATAAGATAAATATATGATGCCAACAAATACTAATCCATCGTGTGAATCCATACAAATGCATGTAATAAAAATCATATACTATGGAGCTAGATCGAGCTCAGCTCGACAAAGCTCATGAGCTTTGGCATATACTTGAGTTCGGTTCGAGCTGATCGCGAGCCTCGAACTTCTTCGTCAGCCTTAACCACGCCCCTTCCGTGCGTCATAAATATCAAATCTTTCTCCATGAAACAACCGATTAGAAGGGGTATATGGCTAATAAGATGATTAATCAAAAGGGGATTAAATTCCCACGGGAAAAAATTTTAGTCATCAACCTAAATCTACCGTAGGAACCTAGATTGGGGCCAAGAACCTAGATCGAAGCAAAAGACATAACCTAAACAGATCGAATCCAACAAATTCAGAGGATTAAATCGATGAGACCAACAATATTGAATTAAAGTTAGAGAGAAAACATAAAAGAAAAGGAAGAACACAAAAAAGGACGGAAATAATCACGATGAGAAAACTTACCGATCTATGGTGGGAGACGGCGCAACGACTGACGGACGAGTTTGTCGACGATTTGGAGGCGGGGGCACAGCTCTGAGGCAAGACGGTGAGACTCCGTCGGGAACTGGGGAGGCGGGGGCACAAATCCAAGCGGCGGCGACTACGGGGGCACAGATCCAAGCGATGGCGTCGGTGGCGGCGGCGGCGGCGGCTCCAACGGGAATTTGGGGAGGTGGATGGGGAAAAGTCGCGTGCTAGGGTTTTGGAGAGGCGAAGAGAGAGAGAGAAAGGGAGAGGCGCGGGGGTGTGAGGCCAGGGCGGGGGTGGGATTGAGAGAGGGGATGGGGATTTACTATTTTTTTCCCCTTCACAAAACAAAGCGGGTGGTCCGCATGTCATTTACTCGGATGGTCCCACGTGTCAGTGTCACGAATGGCAATATAATAAAAGTGACGACATGATAGTAGCAAATCTCACCATTTTTTTCTACGCTAGGAAGGATGAGAAGATACTGATGATGTGGGAAGAAAAGCTAGAAGCAAGAGGAGTAATCAATTGTGTGAAGGTGGCTGTGTGGACGTGGATTCATGTTTCCATCCTCGGGAGATGTGAGACATGTGCCCTCGTCGCTACATCAGCACAACAGCCCATACCACTGGCCCTAGCTACTGTACATAGCAGCAAATAACTGGAAATGGGTTTTGGCAGCGTTTGGTTCTTGTAGCTAGGTTTAATTCCTTTGTTTAGATAAAAAATAGACACTACTGCAACAGATTAAATTAGTTTATGGTGTTAGCATTACCCTTTTTGATCAATGAATGTATACCTCTCCAGCAAGTAGTAAATGTGTCATGGACACACATATATATAGATAGTTGATATCCAATGCAATATGCGAAAAGCATAAATGGCATGGTTTATTTGATTCCGGCGGTAGTATAATCTTTCAGTGTGTGTGACACACATATATCTCACATAGTAAAAATGGTATATATGAAGAAAGAAAAAATGTTAACTATCCATATCCTATACATATGCAAGACATATATATATATATATAGATAGGAAATATAGCGGAATAACTATAAGTCTATAATATTATCAAAGAACAAATAAAAACAAAACAGTCTACCCGCAAAATAAAAGTAAAAACAAAACAGGAAAGTAGATGAATTAACATCATATATATGCATCGATCTTTCCTGCCATTTTCTCTAAGAATTTTTGTTCGCTAAGAATTAATGTTGATTCTCAGTCGATTTAAAAAGGGAAAACTACGCATGATTCAAAAAGAGAAAAAATGATAATAGACACAAAATAGGGGATCGATCCATATATAAGGACCAAAGCGCATTTCTTATTCTTACTGCTATTAATTTGTCAAGCAACTCTTCACGGAGT